TCCCACAGGAGCTCCAAGTCTAGAGCTGAAATCTCGCATGAAAAACTCTTCATCAGGGTTTCTCTGCCCCTTCACAGCTCTGAGAGTTAAAAAGAAAACGAACTGGTTGGAGGTCTCCCTGCTGTGGGAGTGGGTGGTGTGACCGAGAGTGTTCTGACACAGTTTCTTATTAGGGTCCTTCCTCATGCATTTTATTGCATTTAATTAAAAATTATTGCTAAGAGAAACAGCTGCAGATGGTCTTATTTTAAGGATTTTTTTTTTTTTTGCTCCGAATGCCTTCAGGGCAGGTTTGACTGGCTTGAGTTGTGGGGATCGAACACCAGCAACCTGAGCCTGATTGCTTTGTTGAAGCAGCCACTTAAAGAACTGAGCTAAGGGGCAGGCCCCCAAATGGTCTTATTTTAAGTGAGAAAATTAAAAACTGAATTTTCTCATCAGTCAATTTCAACAAGAAGCACAGCCACACGTGTCCAGGGCGACACCGTTGAGATCACAATCATCTTTAGGGCGGCTCCTGGTCCTCTCTGAGAGGCTTAATGAGAGCTCTGCAGGAGTTCATTTATCACAAACATAATAATAACAGGACAGCTCTCGGCTGCTGCAGACAGAGACCTGGCTCTGGTGCTTCAACTTTAACACAGGAGACCCTGTCTAGGGACCCCGCTGCAGGGGACCTCGCTGGGCCCTGCTCATGCGCACAAAAGCTCTCGCTCCAGCTGAAGGTCACCTCCTTCCATGGTGATGATAGTGTTTCTTGCTGCTCTGTCTATACTTAACAAGAAGTAAGAGAGGGTTTCACTGTTTACACAGGCAATGGGTTCAGAAAACATGGTGTTTCCTAAGGCAGGTAGACGGCACTTTCCCGGATGCCCTTGAGTTCTCAGACCAAAGGTCATACCAGCACACTGGGGCATTCTGCCCCCTTGCCAGAGAGGTACCCACATAATGGGCTGCCCCAGCCACAGGACAGAGTTCCAGGAAGAATGCAGCAGGGGTTGGTTTTAGTCTGATCACTCACTGGACACAGACACAGACAGGTAGAGAGAGAAGTCAGAAACAGAGACAGAGACAGAGAGAAAAATGGAGAGACTGACAGGGTGACAGAGATTGCCAGAAATAGAGACTGAAAGACACAGACAGAGACAGACATAGACTGAGACGCAGACACACAGAGACAGGACTAGAGATGGCAGAGATGGAGACAGACAGACATCTCCACAGTACAAGGGGCCACATTCTCCCTCCCAGAGTGCATCCTGTAATCAAACCCTGTGCCCAGTGACCTCGATTGTGCCCTGATGCTGGCTGATGCTTGTGGCCACCTCTCACATGCTGTCCTGACTCATGTGTCTCAATAGCACAGGGCAAGATGATTGTCACTGCCATGTACCTGTGGTGACATGAAGGTGCATGCAGAGGTGGTCAGTGTCCCAGGCATCTGCACCTGGCCCCAAGCATTCAGGTTACCCACGTGCCTATGTTAGGATGACATGCATTAAGGCAGGCTGGGAGGCTGGGGAATCACCCAGGGCTCTGCGCTACCCAGGGCATTCTGAGGGTTCAGAACAAAGCTGCAGGTGGCATGGGGATCCCTGTCCATCACCAATCCAGCTGGCTACAGGATGGGGAGGCTTGAAAGCAACAGGAAGACCTAGGTGTTCACCATGGGGGTGGTGCCCACACTGCATGGCCCACCGGCGCTGACCAAGTGTGGTTCTTCTCTGGCTTCTAGCAAGTGGCAACCTGCCAGTCCTGGGACATTTGGAGCTAAGACCAACTCCTTACCACACCAGACACATAACTTCTGTGCACAAAAGTGAGGGTGCTGGGCTACATCTCTGCCTTTTTTTCTTTTGCATAAAGGTCAATTCA